ACAATTATTCATACATGTAATTACATAAATAAATATGTAATTGGGTCAGAGAGAATAATTAAAATGCATATAGGTCAGTTATTATCATGGAAAATTTTAATGGGATTGTTATTTTATAAAAAAAAGTTATTATTAAAGATAGAAAGTGAATCATGTATGAATGAAAGAAAATTATTCAATTTAAGTATAAAATTCAACCTAGCAATCAACAATCGTCTTTTGGTTGACTGATTGGTTGGTTGGTTTGTTGATTGACGAATTGGTTGATGTACTAACCAATCTGCAATCGACAAATCAACCATCGACCAATCAGTGATCAGCAAATTAACAATAGACTAGAGAGTTAATAAAACATAGATTACACAATAAAGCAATCAATCAACGAAAAAAAATCAATCAGCCAGCTAACTACTAATCATTTCAATCGTTCAACCAAAAAAACTCGGCACAGCCAATCACGATCTATTTCCGGCAGTGGAGCTAACATGATAGCTACTTTCCTGCGATGAGACAGACGTCTGCTGTCTTAATCCAGACGAAGAACCTCCCCCACCTCCGCCACCCACTCCACTGAGACTACCGCTAACGCCAGTTCCACCCACACCACTTCCGACAACCAATGAGGAGTGAGTGAACAATTTGTACCAGCCAATCACGAGGCTCGTTAGATTTAATTCGTCCAAGTTTATCTGGACTACGCCCATAAAAATTTTGCGGTCCAGTCGACCGTAATCTCCCCATATTGTTACCTGGTTGGTGGAAAGAATGAATGAATGAATGAATAAATGAATGAATGAATGAATGGAAGAAAGATTGATAGATTGATTAAAAGTAAAAGAATAAAACTTAATTAAACCTGTAATGTCTTTCCACAGAACGGCTCGGCGAATATGAGGACCTGCGCGTTTGTCAAGTGTTAAGTTAGGAACACATTACGGTAACTATTATCATCATGACCAACATCGTCATCATAACCAACACCGTCATCATCATCATCATAACCAACATCGTCACCACCACCACCACCTGTTGGTAGAGGGGGTCGAGGGTTCGCCTGGCGATGGAGGTCTTCTGCTTCTCCACTCTCCTCTTACCATCCATCAGGTAAACTTTTATGTACGGAGCTGGTGATGACGATGATGACGATGATGGTGACGATGATGATGATGACGATGATGACGTCACCATAGTTGCGACGATTTTAATGAAAGTGACGTCAAAGCAATCCTATCATCAGCTTCAAACAGCTCTAGCAGCAGCAGCAACAACGACAAAGAGATAGACAACAACAACAGCAAGAACGACGACAACGACGACATCATACCCACCTGGTAAAATTCTCGTTCCGGATTTAGGAACCAGACCTCGTGCCCTGATGACCTCAACCTCCAGACAACCCTTCCGAGCCGTAAGTCCCAACTGTATTTGCCCTAAACAAGCCGTTCCTAGCACCTGAAATGTCGATGCGGTAAATGTCATTGTGTGTGTTTGTAATCGTGTTTCTGACGTAGCTAGATGTTAATGTCATTATTATTAATACCATCGTCATTACTCCCATTATTATATACAATCAAGTTAAATAAAGGGCAATAGGCCGCACATCTCTATTCCCTAATTTGTAACCGACCTGTCGGCCAACTAGCTGTCCGGGGCCCAATCCGTCGATAAAACTTGAAAGCTGTTGCTGCTGCTGGCTCGAATCTAAATCATATTCAGTATTTTTCTTCTTTTAAAAGTTATTATTTATTATCATTATTGTTCAAGTAATTAATAATTCCATTCAGATGAGTTGGTATTACTGTTTACAGGAAATACAATAACATGACCGTGAACAACATCACGAACAACAGCAACAACAACGACAAGGACAACGACAGCAACAACGACAACAACAACAACAACGTACTCTTACCTGACGACGAAATCATAGCACTCCCACCACTGCTCTGCCACCTGCATAAAAAATAACATTCAAGCAACTTTAACGCATCTTTACCCGTTATAACTTATTAAAATTTTAGCACACACACACACACACACACACACACACACACACACACACACACACACACACACACACACACACACACACACACGCACGCACGCACACACACACACACTAATCCTAAACCTGACAATGAAACAAGCTGTTCATACAAACCATAAAGACTCATTAAAGAAATATTGTCAACTAACATGGCCACGGAGTCGCTACTGTTACCCGCGGACGAAGAAGGCCCACCAACGGCCCCCCCAAAACTGTTGCTAGACCCCCCGTGGCTTGCGGTGGACACCCCGTAGTTATTGGCCCCACTGTCCGTGGAGTCTCTACTCGTCTGCCTCTTCATTTTCATATCTACAGCAGCACCAACTTCCTCGCTGCGTTGGAATGATGCTTTGCCGCGTTTGCCTATATCTACATTGTTGTTGTTGGTGTTGTTGTTGTTGGTAGTGTTGTTGCTGCTGTTGTTGATGTTGTTGGTAGTGTTGTTGTTGTTGTTAGTGTTGTTGGTGTACTTAATTAGTTAAGCATATGAGTTTCACAGAGCTAAAACTGAATTATTATTTTCAAATGTTTGTCTAAATGTTGTTATAAATCAAAAAGTGACGTTTATGAAAATTAAAAAAGCACACAAATACCTCCGATTTGTGAGGTGCTCTGACTTTTTCTTTTCGATAAGCCAACCAGGGCAGCCATTTTTCGGCCAATAGAAGGATGCGGTTTTGCAGGGTGACCAGCTATTGGCTGCCTCTTATTACCCCCACCCTTCGTAGTATTCTTATCGGCCAATGAGGTTGATTCGTTTGGTAGAAGCTCGTTTTCTATTGGTTGGTCATCTGGCAGGCCTGAATCAGATTGGCTGCCAATATCGAACGGTGTTGATAATGATGTTGTTCGTTGTTGTTGTTGTTTGCGTCGATTTTGTTGTTGCTGCTGCTGCTGCTGATTCATTTGCAAACTGCTGCTGGGATGACGATCATCTCATATTCAAATAACATCGTCAACAACACTAAATTGAATTGTACACATATTCAAAACGATGACAACAACAACAACAACGACAACAAAACTGAACTAACTCGAGATTATCATCATAACCGTCGGCCCCTCCACCGAGACCACTATCATTACCGCTCTTCATGCCACTTCCGGAAGTTGTTGTTGTTCTATTATTAGCGTTCGTGGGTTTTTCCGACTGCGTCGACCTGAGGCTAATTTTAGAAAAATCCGAAATATCGCTCATCTCTGAAATATCGCTGTGTAGAGCATCGTCGTGGGGGTCCGCACTGAAATCTGATTGGTCGTTGATTGATTGATTGATTGATTGATTGATTGATTGATTGATTGATAGATAGATTGGTCAACAATTTCAAAAACTACAAAACCAAACCAACCCCTCCTTTTTCTTCTTCCGTCTGCTCTCATTGGCCCGCTTTCATTCGCGAACCTTCCATGTTGCTGAAATCTATTCTTAGCTCGGAATTCCCCACCATCGCTATAAACATCACGGTTATCATGATAATACGGTGGCTGTTGTTGTTGCTTGTTGCTGTACCTTCGAAAGTTATTTTGCTGTTGTTGCGGAAACATTTGTTGCATGTTGTTGTTGTTGTTGTTCATCATCATCATTCGTCGGTCAAGGTCGTCGTTTCTCCATCTGCGCCGCGATTGGCCAGATGAAGAAGTGGGCGTTGACGGGGTCGAAGATCTGCCAATTAAATTTTATCATCCAATCGAGAGATACAACTTTAAATAGCTAACAAATCTAGACCAATTTTAACCAATCGGCAGTTTTATTAATAAAGGCAGCCAATTACAAACCCGATCAAGAAATACGTCACGAAACAAGTTTACAAACACAAGGATGACACTAGCAATTTACCTCGATCCTCTCTTCGAGGGGTGGTTGTAAATGTCGTTGGCTCTGTCGGATGACCTCGATCGACCTAATAAAAACAACAACAACAACAACAACAATAATAATAATAAGAAGAAGAAGAATATTATTAAACAGCAACAACAACAACAGCAGCAGCAACGATGATGATCAACCAACGACCTTCATTTCTCTGGTACCCTCCCCCTCCGACCATTCTTTCATTTCCGCCTTCTATGACGTCATCGACTACGTCACCGCCCCCGACGACGGCCGGGTTACTATAAATAGCATCCTTCCTTCTGTTTCCTCTCTCCTGATTGGCCGACGAGCCGCCGGTGTTTGACCTTGACCTAATTTTTCGTGACACGGCTTCGGAGTCGGAGGACGCCACTTTCCACCAATCACCGCCACCGGTTTCAGGGGTTTTCCCTGTAATTATTATTAGGCAATCAATTGATCATCATCATAATTATTTTATTATTATTATTATTATTACCATCACCAAGAGGATGAGGAGCGATAGGCAGCTGTCTCTTCTTCACCACCCTCACCATCCCACCAGAGGAACTGAATTGATGATGATAATGATGATGATGACGACGATGATAGTGATAGTGATGATGAGAGAATTAAAACAATGGCAAATCGTCACGGAGACAGCCGGCCATACAATACAGACGGCTAGACAGAATACCGACAGACAGACAGACAGACAGACAGACAGACAGACAGACAAGCAAGCAAACAAAAACACACTCACACTTCATCCTCCTCCCTTTCGTTCCTCTTCCTCTCACCACTACCACTAACAACACTGCCACCACCACCGCCGCTACTACTATCACCACCACCACTAGCAGCCACATTCTCGTCCGCTGGAGCCACCATAATGGTATCATCGCTAGAGTAAACAAGGGCGCCAGCAGCTGCTCCAGCTGCTGACGATTTTTGCTGCTGCTGCTGTCTGGAATGTCGTTTGCTGTTGCTGTTGTTGTTACCGGGTTCCATGTTGTTGTTGTTGTTGTTAGATTTTGCTGTTGTTGTTAAGTTGTTGGCGTCTAATTCGGAGTTATCACTGTCGCTCAGACGAGAGACTGAGTTCGGAGGTGAGAGGTGGTCTTTTGTGTAGTCCTGTTGTTGTTGTACATTTGTTTGTCTGTGTGCGTGTGTGCGTTTGTACGTGTGCAGTTAAGTTTGTGTGAATGTATGCATGTATGTATACATGCATTCGCGCGCCTGCGAAAACATGTAAGCAAACAAAAATGTAGTCTATTGAAAAACAGATCATCCGAGATTTACTACATAGACTACAAACCTACTAACCAATCAAGCAACTAATCAATCTATCTATCCACCAACCAATCAGCCGAGCAAGCAGGCAAGCAAACAAGCAAGCAGTCAACGAACCTCGTGTGACGTAGATGTAACACTGCTGCAAGCATCGTCGTAATGAAAGAGAGTGAACGTTTGGATCCTATCGTACAGGTCGCAAGTTGAGAGGTCAACAATCGCCTGGTAGGAACAAAAATACACACATACACACATACGTATACACATACACATACATACGTTATACACACAGACATACACAAATAAAAACGTATATACACACACGTACACACATATATAAGTATACACGCACATATATATACACACACACTACGTACGTGACCAACCTCGCCGACGTACTCCCCACTGCCAATCCTGTCGTAATCGTAGACTGTGATCTGCAGCGACTGAGACTGCAGGTCTCGCCTCTTAACGGGCGTGTAAGCGAATGACTGGCACCATCTGGGGTTCAGGGTTCCCGCCACGGTCTTCGTACGCCTTTTTGTCTTCTCGCTAGGGACGGTTTATTTAATCATTTCTTTTCATTAATTCGATTAATCGATCAGTCGGTCATTGATCGATTAATTGATTAATTCATCCATTGATTGATTGATTTATTTATTTATTCATTCATTTATACACCAATCAGTCATTCCACTAATCGTCATCGGAGCTAACCTCCTATCTGGCAGAAGGTAGAGCTTGCAGTAGGGATTGCGTAATATATTATTCTCTCTCGGCCTCAGACTGATGGCACCTACAATCGTTACGACCAGCTGGTACGTGGGAATGTCATAGTACATCACCTTTATCTGAAGTTATCAGTTGGAGAATTATGATTGATTGATTGATTGATTGATTGATTGATTGATTGATTGATTGATTGATTGATTGATTGGACGGTTGGTTGGCTGATTGATTGACCGACCAACCGAAAGACCGACCGACCAACCAACCAACCAACCAACTGACCAACCAACCAACCTGTATCTTGCCACAAACAGGTGAAGGGTAGACAGGGGGGTAGAAGGAAGCAGGCGAGCCCGGAGATGTCACCGTCACTGCCGGCCCGGAATGTGTAAAACTGGGCAGACGAGATGAAGAGGAGGACGATGATGAGGGTGGGAATGGCGGGCCTGTGGAAGTTGACAAAAAAGTTTAACAAAATAAAAATAATTATCATTATTATTTTTATTGTAATTCCAACAACAACAACAGCAACAACGACAACAGCAAACCCCCTCCATCTTTGTATCTTCTCGGCGATGATATCCTCCTACTGATGACACTAGATAGACTCTCATTGGATGCGTATTTATAACCACTACCGCTAGCCCCGCCCCCTTCTTTCGCTCCTCCTCCGCCCTCTCTGCCCAACCATCTCTCTACTGCCAGTTCAACTTTGAAGTCGTTCTGAGAGGCGAAGATGACGTCATAAACGTCGTCGAATGAGAGGTTGCGTAAACACTTTCCTGTAGTTTGATTGGTTGACGTACGGTGGAAAGTGAAACTCAAAAAATTCGATTGGTCGAAGATTTAGTAAGTGATTGATCTGACTGGCTGGTTGGGAGTGAAACATGTGATATGATCGATAGAAGAAGAAGAAGGAGGAGGAGACAACTAACCATTCCACATGACGACTTCATCGCCGGCAGTCAGGTTGGCCACGGTGTCGGCCACACTGCCCTTTTTAACTTTCGTCACGAATGCCCCCACGTAGCCGTGCTCCGTCATGCGGCCCCCTGTCACTTTCAGCCCTGCGGTAGGAGGAAGTTCAACGCTCATTAAAGTTCAAAATAAATAAATTCCATCGTCGTAAGCATCATTTAATCAACAAATCAATAATAACTTAAAAATGACGTCACCGAAGTGGTTCAATCGTCACAGGCTTACCTAACGTTTTCTTGCCACTGGGGTCCCGAGGGTCCTCAAAGGTTTTATGGAGGACCATGTGACCGAGTAGTTTTGAGCCATCTGGCGAAACTTTCCACGATACTGGGTGCTGCGATTGGTTGGGAAGAATAGGCGAAATTAGGGAATGACTTAATAAAGATGTCGTTATTATTGTTATTATTAATAATGATGATGACGACGACGACGATGAAAAAGTATTGACGATGAATACGTGTAAAACAACGACGCACAGAAGTTAGTTTGAAAAAAGTGACGGTTCTGTATAGAACGATAGATACTAGCCTAACACAAACAAACACTGATACATTTAATCAGACATACACAAACATCAAACAGACAAACAAACACATATACAGACAAACAAACAACCACAAGCAGGCAGACACACACACAAACAAACACACATACACACACAAAACCCACCATCGATTTATTCCTCCTAACTCTACCAGCCCCACCACCTCCATACAAATATTGTTGCTGCTGAAAAGATGCCGGCTGACTCGTCAAACTCCGACTACTACCGCTCCTAATTACCGAGCCGGAACCGTAATAACCGACTCCATCGTCGTATCGGTATGTACCAGAATCTGGAGAGGTGCATCCCTGTTTGTGATGCAGTTGTGATGAGGACGCTGGGCCCGTCTTGCTTATTCTAATTCCGCTATTTATTTCCTCTTCAGAGCTGCTGACAGAACCACTTTTGTTGTTGTTGTTGTTGTTCGTGTTTTCGTTGTTCGCCGACGATGACGTCACGCTGGGAGGTAGTGCCTGATTGGGTAAAAAATAATTTGCGCCGCTTCCGCTATTTCTAGCCCGGTTCTGATTGGCCGAGGAGGAAAAGTATGGCGATGGAGAGGAATCACCTGATTTGTCAGAGCCTAGAGAATCTTCTCTCGATAGGGAACGTGCCGGCCTTTGATTGGTTCGATAATTTGGAAATTGGGTCATATTGCCGGGGTTCATCCGCTGTCGAGACTGTCGTTGACCTATATATATATATATATATATATATATATATATATATATATATATATATGTATATATATATATTGAAGACGAATAAAAAAATGATGAATGATGCAATTAAGAAAACGCATTGAAACAGCAATTGATACAAAAAAATACGTAAAACACACGCCAAAAACCCTACCTTCAATGTACCTAGCAGCACCTGCAGCGGCGAGAACAGCAGCAGCACCATTACCACCACCACTACCAGCACCATCATCTCTGTAGCCCATGTACCCAGCGTCACCATAGTCCTCTATGTTATGCTGGTAATAGTTATAATATTGTTGTTGCTGTCGCAATTGTTGCTGCATAAGCCTGTCAGGTTGTCTGTCTCTACCCCTAACTTTGATTGGCTGGGCCTGGCCGTCGTGCTCTCTCGCGATTGGCTGTTTGATTCTATAGGAGGAGGAGCTATAGGGCGACGACGATGAGGATAAAGAAGATGATCGGGTGAAATTTTTCTGATGTTGTTGTTGCTGTTGCGTGCTATAAATAGTGGAGGTAGTTTCATTGGATAAGTGATACTGTTGTTGTTGTTGCTGTTGTTGTTGAGCATAAATCTGTTGTTGCTGTTGTTGTTGTCTGTATTTGGTTGAATTATTCAATCCACCGAATAAACATTATGTGTAATTAGAGAATAAATCCAAACAATTAACCATTCATTCATTCACGTATGTTTTATGTGTGAATGAATGAATTCCTTCATACATGCATTCATTAATTCACGTATGTATGTATGAATGATTGAATGAACAGTTAAACAAATGAGCGAATTAATTAATAAACGAATGAACGAACAAACAGATGGATTGATGAAAAAATTGATGGATGAATGAATGAAAAAACAAAAAAAACAATGAATGAGTGAATGAATGAATGAATGAAAAAATGAACGAACGAACGAATGAATTTGGAATGAATGAACTTACAGGAAGGCATCATAGGGAATATTCAAATGAGCAATCATTGCTGATGGTTGTTGCTGTTGTTGTTGTTGAGAGCCAACTGTAATAATAATAATAATTAATAATGAAAATAATAATTAATAATAAATTAATAAAATAATAATTATTATTTTTATAACTGCTGAAACCGCAATAAAAATATAACAGCTATAAGATGGAAAGTTAAACCTACAAAAAATGCTTTTCTTTTTATATAATATTATTAATATTATTATATTATTATTTTCATAATATTATTTTATTATTATTATCATAATATTATTATATTATTATTATTATTATTTTGGATATAGCCTAAAGATATTATTTTTCACTTAGCAAATAACTTTTTAACGAAATAAGCGATGTTATAGATATAGTATCATATTTTTTTTAAAACGCCATATCACCGCCATCACGATGCTATCATCGTATCATATGATATCCTATCATAGATCAAACGAAAAAATGATAAAATGTTCGAATGAATGAGTGAATGAGTGAACTTATAAATACGTAAGTTTACTCATGTGTTAATATCGATTGAATGAACGACTGAAAAAATGAACGAATGAATGAATGGACGAATGAATGAATGAGAAAGTGAGTGAGCGAGTGATGAAAAAAATAGTGAGTGGACGAATATATGAATAAACCAACGAACGAACAAACGAACGAACGAACGAATGAGTCAGTAAAGAACTACTAGTATTAAGATGATGACTAAGACGATGACGATGACTAAGAAGATGATGATGACGATGACTAAGAAGATGATAGTGATGATGCATGCGTTGTTGAAGAGGATGATGATGATGACGTCAATTATGAGTAGCTCAAAGGTGAGATCTGTGTGACTAATAACAACAACAAACATAATAACATTTTTATAAAAATAATAATAATAATATCTATATCACAGAATCAATAATAACAACAACAACAAGATCTACATACGAATTGAAAATGAAGACGACGACGACGATGAGGATGATGCTGATGATGACGATGAAAGCGGTGGTGGTGATGATGATTATATAGAAGGTGATGACGATGATGATGAACAACAAGATAATTAAGAGCTAAGCAGAAATGATGATGACGATGATGAAGATGATGTGATCATCGCATCATATCACACCTGGCTCAAACACACAGGCACTTACGTACATACATACATACATACATACATACACACATACATACGGGCATGTATGCATGCATACATACATACACACGCACAAACACACACACAAATACACAAACTAACACACACACACATGCAAATATATATTGTTGTTTATCATTTATGGCAACACAATTTCACGACATAACAAAATCATTATCATCATTATCATGGTCATTATGTATTTGCTTGTGTGTGTGTGTGTGTGTGTGTGAGTGAGTGTGTGTGTGGGTGTGTGTGGGTATGTGGTAGGTTTTATTGTTGGCAAAAGTTAATAAACTGAAAAACGGGTCTACATTATTGCTATAACTTCTATCACTGTCATCATCATCATCATCGTCGTCGTCGTCAAAATCAATATTAGTAATTAAAAAATTACACAGACCGCTTGTACATTGAGCAATATTTTTATCATTATTATTATTATTATTACTGTTACTATTAAAATGATGAGCATCCAATCTTTCTTCACTATTGCGAACGGTATTAATATTACCACCATCACTATTATTATTATTATTAATATTATTATTGTTATTGTTGTTGTTAGTATTATTTTCAAGGTCAAGTTGAAGGTCGATGGGTTTGGCCATGCCCCCGTGGTACCACTGGCCGGTCTTCACAAGGATGTCCTGCTTCTTCTTGCAAATTACGCAAGCCCAGATCTCCTGAATAAACAGCATAGATAAAAAATAATAATAACTATTATTATTTTCTACAAATGAAAATAATAGCAATAATAATAATAATAACAACAACAACCTTATTTTTCAGCATCATGATGCAACCGCATCTAGCGCAGGATCTGACAAAGCAATAATGACATTTATGTCCAATCCCATCGGCAAATTTTGTCTTCCTGCAGATCTCGCATAAATTAGGGTCTTGACTTCCGGTGGCTGACGTCGGTGAAGTTGAAGAGGCTGTCTGTGATTGGTTGTTGAGTTGGTGAAGAGGGTTGGCTCCTCCCATTTCTCCTAGGCCACTACTTGTGCCATTCACCTCCTCCCCTAATTTTTTTACTGACTCAGTGTATGTCTCAAACTCGTCTTGAAGATTTCTGCATTTGGGATGTTATATTTACATCTTTTAGAGATTTAGGATTAGAACTCTGTATACATATAATATACACACACAGATGATACGTACATAGCTGATACATACATAGATGGTATATACCTAAATGATATATGCTTAGCTGATAATAAAACAATACAATGGAAAGAGGTAGCTTTTCTAATTGAATATAATATAAATATAATACAAATAATATTTATAACAATATAAGCAATAATAATAATAATAATCATTATTATTATGAAGATCAACATAAAAAAAAATAGCAAAGTAATAAAAATGAACCACCTAACCTTAATATTTCTTGCTCTCTTTGTTCCTCCTCTCGCTGTCTTTGAATCACTGACTCAATTATTTTACGTTCCTCATCAGTTAGGTGGGTCAGATCTGGCAGTGGAGGTAGTGATGGCCGTCTTTTTGTCGCCATTTTGTTTTTTATCAATTTGATTAATCAGTTTAGTGTTTGAGGTATAATTTGGTTAAAAAATTTAGCTAGTTTTATAAAAATTTATATCATTTATTTGCAGTAGATTAAGGAATTTATTAAATTATAAATAAAATGTTGTTACTAGAATAAAAACAATGCCTTTTTAGATGGATGTTTTGAGCTTTTAATATATGAAATAAATTATAAAACACACAAAAAATTACTATACAATATCATGATATCTCATACTTATATAATATATATATACAAAAAGTGACTGAAACAGATGAATAAAATGTCTGAAAATATTTTAAAACAGGATGTTAGCAAGAAAGACGGTACAAGAAGAAATTATAGATGCAAATATGTAATCATAATCGTATTTTAATTAATTTTAAATCTATTTGATCATGTTATGGTTTGATTCAGAACATTTAAATTTTGGATTTAAATGTTTTTAATAAAGTAGCAAAATATTAAATTATATGAAATTTAATAAAAAGCCGAAAATAATTGAACGTATTTCAGTCAAAAATAAAGTTAGTAACGTCAGGTTATGCAAGATAACGCAAAACTATTTAAATATTTTGATTGATTTTTTAATTTGTTTGCACTTTTAAATTTAAACTAGTGGCCATTTAAATTAATTTAATTTATTTTGCACTTGTTTTTTAAAATTTAAAGTGCAAAAACAAAATAAATGGACCTTAGGCTCAGATACACACAAGTCGCGAAGTGTATCCCAAATATAATTTACATTTTTATTAAATTTCAAGTATTTTCAATAAAATTTTTACATATAATTTATAAAATAATTTTTAGAATGTTATTTTGAACAAATAAGCTTTTTAAAAATCATTTAAAACTTTTTAAACATCAAGTTTGAGACTAAATTTCTACGAAAAAGACACAATTAATAAAGTTAAGATCATAATTATAAGACAATTTATTAAATTTTTTGTTCCATTATCTCATATGGAGATAAAATAACGAATTTTAGCTCTCAAAACGTGTCAATTCTGGTCCTTATACTCTAGTAAACCTCGGAGCATCCCTATTACATATATAATGCATCATTAATGACGTAAATGATGCTATATTTAGCATCACCCACCTCTTACATTATGTCATTCTTAAAAATAAATTTTCTGATATCAAATATTCATCATCAGATTTTTCAAATTAAGTGAACTCTCTTATTATTTTAGGCTATCAAAAATCTAAAGAATCATAAGAAAATATGCACACATATTCACACACACACACACACACACACACACACACACACACACACACACACACACACACACCACACACATCGACTGCTCCGTCGGTACGATGGATTGCGTCAACGGTTTTCACGGTGGGTCTTCATGTGAGCAGAGCGTCCAATTCTTGACAGGCATCCCCGTGAACAAAGCAGACAGGTCGCTGCTTTGGACGACATGGCCAGTCCAACAAAACTGGGACCGGTGTATAAAGGCTTCATTGCCCGAATGACCACATATTTTTAGAACCTCTGTGTCAGGCACCTTGTCCTCCCATCTGATGTGTGCAATTTTACGGAGGCATCTCATGTGGAACCGAACAAGTCTACGTATGTGGTCCAAGTTTCGCATCCAAGCAACAGTGAAGATATCACGACTGCTCTGTAACACAGCAGCCATGGTGCACAGAGGTATAACATGCTCGTTCTGCAGCCGTCTGTTAAGTTTCCCAAATGCATCCCCTGCCCTCGCAAGCCTTGCAGTGACGTCGTCGTCACACACACACGCACACAAACACACGCACACAAACACATGCACGCACGCGCGCGCACATGCACACATACTTACAAAAACTTTTTTCAAAATTTTTCAAACAGGAAAAAACATTTTATTCACTAGAAGCAACAGATTAACACAAAAAATTATTCCTAAGAAAAATAAATAAATAATTTATAAATATATCACTATATCACCATGATTATATATATATACATATTTATTTGTATAAATAAAAATACATATATATATATACATATATGTATAGCCGAAAAGCAATAAAAAGCTTAACAATGAACACCTAAGTATAAAAACACACACACACACACTTATAAACAAACCAACGCAAGCACGCACACACAAACACACACACACGCACAGTCATCATTCAGGGTCTAATGTAAAATAACCAAGTAACAATCATAGTGATAGTGAGATAATTTCATATTAAAAATAATTTTTGCTATATTTAATCTTATTTTTGGAATGTGATATTGGTTATATATATATATATATATATATATATATATATATACATATATATATATGTATTAACGTATATTAAATGCTAGTATTATTTTAAAATCCATTTGCACCGGAAAGCAAAAGCAACATTACATTAGACAATAATATTGATTAATATTACGTTATGAGTGTAGAAGCTTATTATTTATAAATGAGTGATAAAATGAATGAATGAATAAATGAAGCAACGAAGGAATGAATGAATGAAGAATTAATTGAACGAAAAACGAGTTGATATCACGAAGGAGAAACAAAGCAACCAGACATGAATTAATAAATAAACGAATAAAACTAGTAGAATAAAATAAATAAATATATTCAAACAACCAACTGATATGACTTAGAGTAAAACTGATTTTAATTTATTATGACTCAGATTGACCAAAAGGAAAGAACGAACAAATGAGTAAATAAATGAATGAATGAATGAATGAATGAATGAACGAATGAATGAATGAAAGAATGGATAAATGAAAGAATGTTCAGATGTATGAATCTTTAAGAATTCCGACGGAAAATTCTTTTTTTTTGATTTACCAAATAGATAGATATTATGGTTTAATAGAGAGAGAAAGAGAGAGAAAAAGAGAAAAAAAAGAGAAAGAAAGAGAAAAAGGAAGGAGAGAGAGAGAGAGAGAGAGAGAGAGAGAGAGAAAATAACAAAAGTGATCGTAAAAAATTGGAAATAAAAAATTGAAAAAATGACTAAAAAAGTAGAGAATAATTAACTTTAAAAGTTGCGCAAGTTATGTCTAAAATGATGACGACGATGAAGATGGCGATAGTGAAAATGGTGAGGACGACGACCACGGTTAAGAACAGCGTTAACAGTAGCAACGACTTGACTGCGTAGAATGCAACTCTATCGGCGTCTCTTTTGGCTTTAACTCAACTTTTAAAAACGAAAATAAAAATATTTGTTGTTAGTAGAATACGATGAAACACCAATCACCAATCACACACACACACATACACACACACATACAACACACATACATACACACATACATACACACCACTTTTTTGCATGGTTTCAGCAGTATCCATTCCAGGTAGGGCAGCCGCCACCCTCCTAAACAGCTGCTTCACGTTGTAACTCGATTTGGCACTCGTCTCTATGAACATCACATCCAGCTCTCTGGCCTTCTTCTCGCCATCTTCCATCGAGACTTGCCTGCTCATGGGAAGCCAATCAAATGACCAACCAATCAATGTATCAAGAAGTCAAACAATCAATCAGAGAACCAAATAAAGTCAACTACTCATTTGATCAACCAACCAACCAACCAGTTTATCAAACAAACCTCTTATCAAATAGATCAGTTTTATTTCCGACGAGTATGATGATGACGTCACTACCTCTCTCCATGCGAACGTCATCAATCCATTTCGTTGTCTGTTCAAATGAGCTCAGATCTTAGAGAGAAAAAAATATTAAAAAAAATATAAAAAATTATTAACATTTAAAAAATTTTCAATCTATTTATTCATCCCATTCATTCATCTGTATATTTATCCATCTATCTATCCAATCACTCAGCCTCTTTTTCATTCATTCATTCCACTAATTCCTACTTCTCAAAAACTATCCAACTCCAAAACATAAAATTTCATGGACAACCAGTCGATCCCAATCAATCCCTAATCTCCCTAACTTGAAATATCATAGACGACGACGGCCACTGAAGAATCCCTGATGTACGAGGGTATCAAACTCCGAAACCTTTCCTGACCGGCTGTATCCCATAGCTGAAGACGTATCTAATTTAGGAGTATCATGGATTGTTAGGATCATTGAGATTGCTGCTGCTTTCTAACTCTATAGATTACAACAACAACAATACTAATACCACTGTGCCATATGTACTAATACTTTTACTAATTCTATTACTATTACTGACAAAATTGCTTGTACACATATTAGTAATGGCTGTACAATCACATCATTATCATCATCATCATTTCTCATCATCATCATCACCATTTCTCATCATCATTATCGTTTCTCATCATCATCATCATTCCTCGTTATCATCATCACCCCAATCATCATCATCATCATCATCATCATTATTATTATTTGTGATATTATGACAGAAGGAAGCACTCACAGTTCTATCTTCTAGGTACATGGTTTTTGAGAGGAAGTCGATTCCGATCGTTGCCTGGTTGTGGGGATGAAATAGACTCTAAATTTAGATTTAATCTGACAACTTAGAGCAAGTTAAAAATGAATAACAGTGAAATTAAATAAATAAAAGTGAAATCAGATTAAGAACTGCTTATAGATATATTAATAAAACATACTATAAAGAAAGAAAATCTAAAACTTTTCTATGACATACATGTATACAACTATACAGCTAACATAGAATTAAAAAATACAAACTGAATAATGAAAAAAAAACTAAATTTAATTACAATAATCATTTATAAATCACTAATAATGTTATTTACCTGGTAGGAATTGTCAAAGCTGTCATACATAAATCTAGTGATTAGAGATGTTTTACCAACTGTTAATAAACAAAAAATTATATAAAATTAAAACTTTTCAAATTTTTTATTTAAAAAAACAAATATATATATATATATATGAATATTATATGTATATCAATTATGTGTATACATACTGTATTATACACATAATTCATATAAAGTAACTAAAGAAAGCCTATAATAATTTAATTGGTGGGGCTATTACAGTACTTTACCGATGTTACTTTCTTCACTACTAAATCATCTAGAATGGTATTAACTCATGCAATTTTTAAACTTGAAACATTAAAAAAGGCGTGAATGAAACAGTCCAGACAAGACAGAGGCAGACTTGAATAAAAAAAATTTTAAATTAAAAAATAAAATTGAATAAAATAAAGATCTAGCTACCGCTCTGTTCCCCAAGAAACACCAATTTAAATTTTCTTAACGGATTTCCAAATTCGACAGTTCCGTTCGACATTTTAAGAATTTTACTAAATTTTTAGGAAATTAATGAAAAAAAATAATTTTGGAAAAAAAAACAATTCTTCGTGCGTCAACTTAGCGGCGAAGATTGAAAAAAATGGACATATGAAAGCCTAGCGAACGTTTATCGAATCAAAAAATCTTTTAAATCTCCATTTAAAAAGTTAGAACCAAGAGGTGGTGCTGAATAAAAACGAAACATTAACATCAACATCACAACAACAACAACATTGCAACAACAACATCACAACATATAGATTACAACAACATCACGAAAACAACAACACACAACAAACCAACTTTTCGTTAATAAATCCTAGGACAGTGCCTACCATGCAATTGAAAACACATTATAAATGCGGGAGATATGTATAAAAAAAGAGTGCACATAAACAACGACCAATGAGATTGTGAGCACAAAAATAATAAATTTTAAAAAATACGGAACTGTCAAATTTTATTATTTTAATATAAATAATTTAAAATAATAAAATTTGATAGTTCCGTATTTTTTAAAATTTCTTACATTATATTTCGACATTGAGCTCACAATCGTATTTTCTTCCATTCATTAAGTTACAGCTGTGTTGCGTTCCCTTTTCTAGTTATCTCATTGATCGTTCACTTACAGCTGTGTTGCGTTCCCTTTTTTAGTTATCTCATTGATCGTTCACTTACAGCTGTGTTGCGTTCCCTTTTTTAGTTATCTCATTGATCGTTCACTTACAGCTGTGTTGCGTTCCCTTTTTTAGTTATCTCATTGATCGTTCACTTACAGCTGTGTTGCGTTCCCTTTTTTAGTTATCTCATTGATCGTTCACTTACAGCTGTGTTGCGTTCCCTTTTTTAGTTATCTCATTGATCGTTCACTTAC